CTGATTCAAGAGATGTTTAGGAGGGAACATTTGCAGGACTTGGATATAGGAGGCAGAGGCAAGGGTGGAGTGGAGATCAGGCCCACATTTCTGGCTTGGATATCTGGGTGGATGGTGCTACCTTTCAGCAGGTTGGAAACTGAAGGAGGACATGTTTAGAGGTGGGGGAGATGGTGAGTAAATTATATAAAGTAGAGAACTTCTGGTTGACCTAGTGATCCCTTCCCCTCTCTCTGACTTCTAGAAATCTGTGGGAGGTGGGCCACCTCTCTTCCTGTTCCACGGCACTCTTTAAGGGTGGTGTCTTGGGGGTGCTAAGTGGTCAGCATACCTGGAGGAGGCATTCAGTTTCCACAAAGCTAGTGAATAGATCTTGTGAAAATGTACAGAGGGAGCAAAACTCTTGGACTTCCCAGAGCTGTTTGGGTACTGTGGCTCCTGACCATAGACATTGGAAAAAGTTGGTTGTTCTGTGGCCTGCCCTAGTCACTGCATTCTGTTAGGGCATGTTCCTTTCTTCTTAAAAGTGTGCCACCAAGGCCTGTTACTATGAACATGGCTGCATAAACTGCATACTTGCCACTGTCTCCTGGAAACCATCTGAAAGCAACAAAGAGAATGGAAGACGAAATGAAAATTCCTTTTAAGGCTAACTCAGGAGACACCAGAATCCTTGGGAGCTGTGTAAAAAAGTGGTCAATTTCATGCAGAGCAGTGTTGGGAGACGTGAGAGAGGGGAGGAGAGAGCCCAGGGGTGGCAGATCCCAGAAAGCACCGATACAAATATAGCTGTGAAGCAAGGTCTCTATCTCGTCTTGTCTGCAAAAGAGGCTGTGAAGATGAGGGTGACTGTGGTTGCGCAGCAGTTCCACCTGGACCATTAAGATGAGAGAGGCAGAGGAGAGGACACATGAAGAACCATGCTCACAAGGCTGATTTGCAGGAAGCAGCCTGGCCGCGATTTCAACTTCACCTCAGGCCCGTCTATAGGAACCTCTTTCGATGGACTCATCCAACTTATAAGAAGAGTTTGGAGACACTGTAAGGAAAAAAGGAAACAATGAACAGCAAAGTTTATGAACAGATGAAGGTCAGTCACCCTGAAACAGGTGAAAATTTCGAGCAATCGCTTCACTATGAATTTGTAAAGCTCAATGAAAAAAAAATCCTCTCTGAAGGAACACTACAAAAGAGAAATGCAAGAACTCAAGAAAAAAATGGTAAGATAGCAGGAAGAGGTGAAATATGATCTGGGAAGAAATGGGGAAAACTAGAAATTAACTGGAATTAAGTAGAAATTAGAAAGTACTCAAGGAAGGGGTGCCTGGGTGGCTCAGTCGGTTGGGCATCCGACTTCGGCTCAGGTCATGGTCTCGTGGTTCGTGAGTTCCAGCCCCACATCAGGCTCTGTGCCGACAGCTCGGAGCCTGAAGCCTGCTTCGGATTCTCTGTCTCCCTCTCTCTCTGCTCCTCCCCTGCTCATGCTCTGTCTCTCACTCTCTCTCCTTCAAAAATAAATAAAAACATTAAAAAAAAGAGAAAGTACTCAAGGAGAAAACATAATAAGCCAGACAGAATATAGACATGAGAAACATGAACAAACTGAAATGAAAATAGAAAGGATTAGAAAAGATGGAAGGATCCACAAGACAGACAATGGAGATCCAACATATATGTAATTAAAGAGCCTGACGAAAAAAATAAAAATAAAATAGTGGAATGGAAATCATACTTCAAACTTAGTCTAAGAAAACTTTGGCGAAAAAAACTATTTAAATCTACCTTTTCTAACAAAGTGTATCACACCAAGAAAAACGGGCCCAGGAAAGTCAACACCAAGATATATTCTAGCAACATCACTGGACCTCAAAGAAAACAAAAGATCACCTCACATCTGTCAGAATGGCTCTTGTCAAAAAGACAAGAGATAACAAATGCTGGGAGGATGTGGAGAAGAGGGAACCCTTCTGCACTGGTGATGGGATTATAAATTGGTGCAACCACTGTGGAGAACAGAATGGAGGCTCCTCAAAAAGCCAAAAAAAAATGGAACTACCAGACAATCCAGGCATCTCACTTGTGTGTATATATCTGAAGGAAATGAAATCAGTGTCTTGAAGAGATATCTCCTCTTCTATGCTCATGGCAGCATTATTCAGAATAATCAAGATAAGGAAACAACCTAAGTGTCCACTGACAGATGAATGGATAAAGAAAAAAATATATATATAATATATATTATGTTTATATGTTTTATATATTATATATTACATACATATACACACACACACACATACACACATACACACACACACAACACAATATTATTCAGCCATAAAAAAAGAAGGAAATCCTGCCATTTGTGACAACATGAGTGGACCATGAGTATTATGCTAAGTGAAACAGACCAGACAGAGAAAGACAAATACTATATGGTCTTTGTATGTGGAACCTAAAAATAAAATGTCAAACTCATAGAAACAGAGTGGAATGATGGTTGCCAGGGATGGGAGAGGGAGGAAATGGGGAGATGTTGGTCAAAGAATATAGAGACTTTCAGTTATAAGGTGGCTGAGTTCTGAGGACCTAATGTACAGCAGGTGACTGTAGTTAAGAATACCATATTGTACACTTCAGATTTGCAGAGAGTAGATCTTAAGCATTCTCAACACATGCACACAAAGGTAACTATGTGAGGTGACAGGTGTGCTAAATAACTTGGCTGTGGTGATCATTTCATAATGTATATGTATATCAAAGTATACACTTTAAATATATACAGTTTTATTTGTTATACTTCAGTAAAGCTGGAAAAAATGTAGAGAAAAAGAAAATTCGTATGGCAACTAGGCAGGGTAAAACATCCATCTATTCAGTGGAGCAGGACCCACAAGCCATTCAGAGAAACTGTGACAAAATATTTCATTTCTAGTCAAGATTTCCTTCAGGTATGAATGCTATAGAAAAATGATTTTGAACATGAAGGAACTCAGAGAATTTTGTTCACATGCGCACTGCTTAAGAAAATTATGGAGTTTTGGCTTCAGCTAACCAAGAAATAATGAAAAACTAGGGCAAAGGGGAAGGGAGCATGCAAAGAATGTATTTCACTGAAGAGCTAAGACCTGAACACATATGAGTATTGGACTAGTGGGATAGAAGGTACAAGTTTTATATTCTAACAATTTAAAAATAATACAAATATACAAATTTGGAAGGGGGAATCCAAGAAAAGGTGGCAGAAAGAAAAAAACATGCTGTTCATTAATAACAGCTGAGAACCAAGGGGTATCATTTAAAGCTGCCAGATGTAGTAGAAATGTAAGCATATTTAATTTTACAAAGACAAACATTAAAATAGATAATGCAAGTGATTAATATTGAATAACAACAGAGTGGTAGGGGACAGAGGAGAGGGCAGGTACTAATTTTATGGTTGTTCATACTAGGGATTCAGAGCTACTGTTCAAAGAGGTAGATGATTAAGGGCAAACGATCAACAAGGTGTATACCACAAAACAAAAGTAAAGGTAACTGAAAACCTACTGAAAGAATTCCAAATTAGAAGTACGAAAATATGCCATAAAAATTTATGACAAAACAAAGACTAAACATGTACAGCATATCAAGGAACATAAATGGCCCAAACCTACCTAGTGAAAGAACGCAGAGCTATTTTGGTGGAAGTGTGTGTGTATGGATGCATGTATGTGTCTATGTATATATGTGTACATATGTGGGGGTGGGGAGATACAGAGCACACAAAGTCCTCTCCTCAACCTTTAGCCTATGGTAGACCATGAAGAGGAGAGACATTCCAGATGGACTCCAGGTTTTGATAGCCCACATTTATGAGGAAGATCTTCTCTAGGCTTTGTCTCCCTGCCCTGTGTCCCTTGACTGGAGTGGGGAGAAATCAGAAACCTGCTTTCATCTGATTTCCCCACTGCGATTAAGCCTACTGGTCCCCACCCTGTCGTGCCTCAAGCAGGGTGTTCAGGCTTGGGGCTGCATGGTCCTGGGACATAGACCTACCTGCTGGCTCACAGCAGTATAGGTACCCTGGAGTCTGGAGAAGAGGGGTGGGGCCTGAGAACTTCCCTTTCTGACAAGTTCCCAGGGATACTGATGCTACTGGTCCAGGAACAATGTGTTTAAAAAATCACTGTCCCAGGGGTGCCTGGGTGACTCAGTTGGTTAAGCATCCAACTCTAGATTTCAGTTCAGGTCATGATCTCACATCTTATGAGTTTGAGCCCCGCATCAGGCTTCATGCTGACAGTGCAGAGCCTGCTTCGGATTCTCTCTCCCTCTCTCTCTCTTCTTCCCCTGCCTCCACCATGAAAATAAGTAGATAAACTGAAAAAAAAATCACTGCCCAGAGTGTGTCCCTGCCCGCACATGTGGAGCAGGTGCTACCACGTCAGTGTGCCAAGAAAGCCAGGGCATCCAACTTCCTTTTGAGCAGGTGGTGAAGGCAGAAGTGCCTAGGCAAGGACTTAGTCACATGGTTACACCTGGCTGCAGGAGAGGCTGGGCAATGGCGCCTGTAGCGGGGCAGTCTGTGCCCTAAAAAGGGAAAAGGGAAAAGCTTGCTTGTGGGAGACGATTAGAGGTTTACGGAGTGGGCCCTAGGATTCACATGGAGATGAAGAGAGAGGGTCCAAGCACTCAGTGGTGAGGGACAGGTGTGAAAAAAAGATGCTTACGGTGCTTGGTTCTTAGTGTCATAGCGGCCCTTTATTCAAGGGGGAGGAGCCCAAGGCGGTCTGCAGGCATCAGCAAAGGCCGCCCGGGAAGGCAAGGCAAGAGCTCAGCTTTGAAGCAGGACTGCACTTGGCTGTGGTTGCCCATTCCTGCCTCGAAGACAGCTAGGTGTACTCCGCCATCTTTGCCCTCTTTGTGCCTCCAAGATGTTCATTCACTGTCCCTGTTGTTTTGTGGGTTGGGCCGGATGTTTTCCCAGGTCTCAGACTCTCTTTTTCTATCCTGTCCCCCAGGCGTCTTGGCTCTGGAGAAAGCTGCGTGGCAAAAGGCGGCTGGTGATGGCATTCTGCCTCCTGATGACTCTGTCTGCGGTGGCTGTCACTCGCTTCCCCCCACAGCATCCTGCTACTGGCCCAGACCCTGGTCCCATGGAGCCCCAGGAGGTAACGGGTGCCCTTGGCCCCCACAGCCAGCAGGCTCTGAGCTCCAGCTGGAGGCAGCGGGCAAGAGACCTAGGGCTCTGGAGAGGCTGGGCCTTGCCTAGCCCCATGTGTGCTGGGGAGCAAGGCCACAGAGGGCCAGTGGACAGAAGCAGGAAGTCCCTGGGAGGGGACAGCAGGCGTCCAGGGAGGGTCAGGAGGGACATTACTTTGGCATCTCTAGGAGATTTGAGACTCAGTACCCGGCGTCTTGTGCTCCTGGGGGAGGATGAAGTTAGGAGTCCAGGAGCCAAAGACTTGGGTCCCCCCTGGCATGATGGTCTCATCAGAGAGGCACAGAATGAAACTGGCACCCTGGTTGGCCCCCTCACAGGACATGGCATGACGGCTTTACAGGCTTGGAAAGCTACCGCTGGACCGACCCTCCGGTCCCACCCAGCAGAAGGCAGGAATCTTCCAGGATTGACTGGTGGGCGACAAACAGGGCATCCCACACCATCTGCAGGGGCTCGTCGGTGGCCTGGCTCTGTTGGGAAGCTGCAAGGATCTGTCTGGTGTGAGGCTGAGACCCCTGGTCTGTTGACCGGCTTGAGGACCAGTAGGCAGGCTCCCCCGTGGCTCACAGAGCATGATGTGCAAATGCTCCGGCTGTTGGCCCAGGGGGAGGTGGTGGGCAAAGCCAGGGTGCCTGGCCATGGGCAGGTGCTGCAGGTTGGCTTCTCCAATGCGGGTGCCTCTCGGGACATGTCTTCTGGGCTCAGCCATCTCTGCTCCCAGGGGCTCTGCGGCCTGATCAAGAGGCCTGGGGACCTGCTGGAGGTCCTGGCCTTCCACGTGGACCGTGTGCTGGGGCTGCACCGGAGCCTACCTGCTGTGGCCCGGAACTTCCGGAGCTCCCTGCTGCCCTACCGATACACAGATGGCAGCACAAGGCCCGTCATCTGGTGGGCGCCCGATGTGCAGCACCTGGGTGACCCAGACGATGACCAGAACTCTCTGTCCTTGGGCTGGCTCCAGTACCAGGCCTTGTTGGCACGTGGCTGCAGCTGGCCAAGCCAGGCCCCCTGCCTGGGCCTCCACCACGCCGAGTGGGCACGCCTGGCACTCTTCGACTTCCTGCTGCAGGTAGGTGGGGCTGGGCATGGTGAGGCTGGAGAGCAGCAGAAGCAGGGGATTGGGGATGAATGAGACACTGGAGTTGCCCGCTTGAGGATGGTTGGTGACTCCCCCTCCAATCTTTGTGTTTTGACCACCATGCACCTGTTTTCGTTATTTTTCTGCTTTTGCATTTATTCATCCAGTGGTATGCTGGAACCAGCTCATGTGGGCTTACGAGAGCTGATTGCTAAAATTTTCAAGAATTTTGTGACCTGGTTGAGAAACACAGGCATTATTAAACATTAAATTCCATCAACTAACAATATGATAAGTTATTGTTGAAAAAAGGGTAATAAATGCTCAGAACCCATTAATTCCTAATGATTTCACTGTATTTTACTACAATCTATGCTTTTTAGGTTATTTGCATTTATATAGTAAATATTGTATGATGGTGAGCTACTGCACATCTCCTGTCAGCTCCACATTCGGTCATGTTGGTAGCTTGAAATTGGCCAGGGTGGGAGTATTTACACCATGGGAGTCAGCAAATGCTACAAATATGGACTCCCCACTACTTCCAAGAGCTGGTTGTTAAACATTTATCTGCACATCACTGTTGACAATGTTATATCCTTGAATCAACTAGAATTGAAGGTGGTTGCCTAGTTTAAAAAAGAAAGGAAGTAATGGGGAGAGGGAGAGACATAGGAGGATAAAGGGATGATACTTGGGCACTGAAAAATGAGAAAGGACTCCAGCCACAAGGTCACCTGAGGTCCTTCCCCTGCCAGAAGTTAACCCTGGAGTTTCTGGGGATCCTAGGGAAGGATTGGGCAGTCAGGACACAGGAGTTAACTGGGGGACTGCAGGCATTGGCTACTAACTGTAAACAGCATGGCTATTCTGGGGCCTGTGCACTGGATGTCAGCTGAGACATACGTGTGGAAATGTGTCCAGAAGGATATAAAGACAAAAAGGAAAGACAAAAAGCTCAAAATGGGTGAATATGTGTACTAGATGCAGACTGAGCCAGCCCCCGTTTCTGTAGCGATGCCTATTGAAGAAAGACACCAACATGAGCCCTAGATTCACCTACTGGGGTGAGTGGATGAGCCACAGGACAGGATTCAGGCAGCCAGGGGATGTCATGCTGTATTTGGTCCACACAGGGTTGGTCCACAATATGTTTTCAGAAAATTCTTAGACAACATGTAATACTTTGGAGATTTCCCCATAAAAATCCAGCTTCCTTTGAAACACTGGATGGTTTAGTAACGTTGGGCCTCCCTTCCCATATGGCAGTAATCAGCCTGAGCTGAGTAGTCATGCCATGCTCTCCTTTTGGCCATAGGCCCTACCTCCTTATTTTCTGACATCCACCTCCTGCCCCTTCCCCAGAACCATGAATGCTACCTGTCAGTCAGTGGATATTTGTTTCCAGTCAGCGAGCTAACTGGTCTCCTGAGGTACTTCAGGCTCCTCCAGTCTGTCTCTAAGCTTTGTGGAAAGAGGAGTGCGGAGCTCAGTGATCAGTATGGGCTGACAGATAGACCTGGGCTTGAACCCCTCACTCCCAGACCCCTTCCTGCTGTATGACACTGAGGAGATTACTTTGCCTCTTAGACATTCACTTTTCTTACATCTAAAATGGGACTGGATGTCCTGACCTCACTCCCTTGGACCTGATCATTGTAATGTGTGGTAGCTTCTAATTGCCAGCACCTGCATCTGTGGGCTTGCTCTGGGTGACATGTGACAGGCTGGGTGCTGGGGAACTAACGCTGTCCAGATAGTGTGGTCAACCATCCAGGTTGGGAAGGAGGTATTTCTCAGACGTAGGACTTATAGCCTGGGGCAAACAGGGAAGACTGGTCATGCTACTTCTAGGAGCAGCCTCCGGGGACTGATGGGAGACAGTGTATAAAGAAAGCCCTGGCTCCCTGGCTGGGATGGCTCTTCAGTGTGTGTTATAAGTGTCTCAGAGTTCCCTGCAGTGGTCATTGTTCACCCTCTCTGTCTTACTTCTCTGCTCCCTGCTTATGTTTCTGGATTAGCTCACACACAAAAAAATGGCTATCGCTTGAATCCTTGTCTTGAGGTCTGTCTCTGGGAGAGCCTGGCCCATGTCAGACAATAACACTGACCTTGTGTGGTTTCTGCATGCAAGATGGTTCATGTAATACAGTGCCCGGAGGGTGGCACATGCACAATTATAGGCAGGCACTGTCCCCAACACTTTATAGGAATTAACTCATCCAATCCTCATAGCAGCCTTACAAGTGATATACATTTATTCCTATTTAAAGTTGAGAAATTAAGGTCCGAGAGGTTAAATTACTTGCCCGAGGTCATGGCTGCTGAAGTTGACACAAAGCCTAATGGTTGCCTAATGGTCTGCCTCCAGAGCTCACCTTCTTAATCAGAGTCACTATTCAGCTGGCCATGAATGAGGCAGGAAGAGGGGACCCTTGCAGGGATGCCTTGGAGCGGTGAGACTGGAGGCGCCTCCTCGCAGAGCCCCAGCCGAAGTGCACGCAGCAGTCTTCTGCTCCACACAGAGCTCCTCTGTCCATCTCCTAGAGTTGCGGTGTGGGACCCTTCCTCAGCTGCCAGGTCCTGTTGTAGGGACGGAAGTCTTGGCAGCCAAGTCACACGCTGGTTGGGTGTGTGGTCTGACGCTACCTGGCTGGCCTTGTGCCACCTCTTCCTTGGTTTGCTGAACACCAGTCAAGTCAAACACCCCTGTCTGGCTGATGCTGCCTTCCTAGAAGCCACTGGCAAGTCAGAGGGAGGCGAGGTTTCAGGATGTGGGTTTCCCAGCACGGGAACCTGAGGTGCCTCCTGACTGGGGACTGAGCACAAACTCCATGTACAGTCCACTCTGTGGTATGTTTGCTTGTTTGTTTTGTTTTATCTAATATAAACGCTTGCTTTTTTGTGTCTGTGTATCACAACATACCATCTACCCAGACACAAAATACACAAGCACTGCACACATACACATTCTTTATACTCCCCACAAATCATACCCTGTGCGTTGCAAATCCCATCTAAAACCTTGCATTAGTTAGTGATTGCTGAAATAATGCTAACAAACTTCTCTAAAATCATTGGCTTAAAACACCAGCTCTTTAATTCTTTCTCCAGGGTCTGTGGGTCAGTTGGGCTCAACTAAGCTTAGCTGTAAGCTGTGGGGGGTGGGTTCACGTCTGCCCTTGGTGTCTCATTCTGGAGTGCCGGCTAGAGGGGCACCAGTTCCCCGGGGCAAACCCTTCTCCTGGGAAATGGAAGAAACCCTAGAGTTCAACAAAATTGCAAAAGCACATTTAAGGCCTCCACTAACGTCACTTCCTCTAGTATTCCGTTGGTCAAAGCAAGTCAATGTCAGGGAAGGGAAGTACAATCTGCCCAGACTGGAAGGGAAAGAGGAGCAAATATTTGTTGGGCAAAAATGAAATCAGTTACACATACCCCAAACGCATACATTGTACACTTCTAAATGAACCTTATGTCCCCACATATTCTATAGCCACCCACACATGCATACCATTCACATGAACCATACACCCACATATACTCCATATGACACCCAAACACTGCTGTGGGCAAGTGGGGCTCAATCCTGTGGAGAACTTTGAGTGAGTGTGTAGAACGTGCACCAGAGTTGTCTTACTCAAGGGCCAAAGCTGGGCTATTTACCCCCTAGCTCCCAACTGTCAGAGGTTGAGACTGCTCCTAAGGGCATTGACCTCCTAGGGGCACTAGCAGCCTGGCTCATGTGCTGGCCAGACAAACAGGATCCTTCAGCCAGAAAGGGGCTAAGGCAGAGAGCCACGGCACTTTCTGTAGAAAGCCATCGATATGTACAGGAATAGTGAGTGCCAGGGGGTAGGGGTGGGATACTAACAGCATCTGCTACTCCTAATGAATAAATCAAGAACATGTTTTGGAGGCCAGTATGACCAGGAGGATCCTCTCAGTTTATAAGCTGGTCTCTCTAGGAAAGATACAGTAGTAATAGTGAGTAGGTACCCTCCACTGCACCCCAGGCTTGTCATAGGAAGAAGTAGGACTAAGAAAGAGCCCACCACTTCTGAATACATCAGTGAGAAGCTGCTTCTACTCAGGTGGACAAAGTGGGTGGGAGAGTGTGTATGTGTGTTTGGTGGGTGGGGCTCACAAAACTCTGCTTAATGTCAGGGGCCACCTGCAGCCAGAGTTGCATTCAGTCTGGTAAAAGGTAGAAAGTCCTTCTCCTCCTGGGACAGTGATGATGGAACAGCCAAGCATGGTCAGGAAAAGCTAATGACCATCACATTCACTGTAAGTCAAATTCAACCTGAGAGGAGTTGTGCCTGGGACCTAAAAGAGCCTTCTACTCAGTGGCCAGAGTCAGGGTAGGAAGTGCTGGGTTGTTGGGCACATTTCTTTTTTTAATTTTTTAAAGGGCCTCTGTCTCACACTGTGCTTCCTCTGAGAGGGCGTGTGATTGGCTAGATGGTGGGCGAGTTGTGGAAAACTCAGACAGACTGAGAGTTGGTAATGTTGGCTCATAAAAGTCTTTCTGCAACTTCTGCTTATGAAGGGTCTTCACGTCCCAAGAGTTGATATCCGAGAAAGCCTCGCCTGCCACCCATCCTGGCCCAGGCCATCATCTTTTCTTACATGGACTAACACAACAGCTCCCTGATTTGTCTCCCTCCCTTCACTTATGTCCCCTCCAATCCAGTCTCCTTACAGAAGACTTCCCCCAGGCAGACCCTGAGTCTAGGATTCCAGTGTGGTAGTTTATCTGGGAGACAATCTCAAGAAACACCCATAGGGAGATGGGAAGTGACATGGGAGGACAGACAATCAATAAAGGGCATGATATAAAGTAGGTCACCACTGTGAGTGACTAGGGAGGGCTTAGTTCCACAGAAAATTTCTGAGAAATGGTATGAAATACATGTTCAGAATTAGCCCACCAAGAGGTGAGGGACTCAAGGCATTTGTAGCCAAATATCCCATCAATCTTTGGTTGA